GGGCGGCAGGACTCCAGAGCAGCGCATTCCGCTCTGCCCGAGGCAGGAGCGTGGGGGCGCTGTGGGCTGGGTCTGGTCTGGAGCAGGACCAGGCTGGGTGTGCAGGTGGGATCATGGTCCAGTGCAGGACTTGGCTTTGCTGCCCCGAAAGCCCCTGCTTTTCTATTGTCTTTTCTTTTTTTTCAGATGGACACTTTATTATCCAGGCTTCTTATTGCATTCAGTTTCTTACACATTCTTTTTATAGGCTTTTTTTTACATAGGGCTCATGAGCTCGCCAGAGAGACACAATAAGAGGGAAAGTGAGAAGTCACCCCCGTGGGCAGGGAGAGACGGCCACTCAGCAATCCCGTCTCCTCCATCCTCCTCCTGGGATTTTGGGTACGTGTGTACTCATGCCCAGCATGATTTTCAAGCCCCCAGGTCCAGGACTCAAACAGCAGTCGACTATGTGGGGGTCCAGTGCCTTCACCACACTACTCGCCAGCCCCACCCGTTTGTCTCTGTCTCTGTCCGTCTCACACAGAGGCATCCCTCTCCAAGGTGTCCGCTAAACTCTGCAGGAGCCTGCAGTAGGTGCCCCAGATTGGCCCTCGCCTTCCAGGAGCCCGGGGGTGTCTAACTGGTGCACTGAGGCCCGCACAGGTGTATGCAACAGTGTGCAACGGAGCGCGTTGGGGTGGGGGCAAGGAATGCCACAGGAGGCCCAGCAGGGCAGCTCCTTATAAAGGTGGGAATGATCTAGAACAACCTTAGGAGGCAATGGGGTCTGTGCCAGTGCCTGAAGGACCCACGGAGCCCTGGAAACAGAACCAGGGATGGTAGCTTGAATCCCTGTCTCTGCATCAGCCAGCTGTCTGGCCGTGGACACCAAGCCTTCATATGGCCACCTGTGAAACAGCAGCAGCTAGAGGACCCACCTCGCGGAGGTGCCCAGCACGCAGCCAGCACACAGGCAATGTCAGCTGTCAGCGCTGGCTGCCAAGGGAAGAGACCAGGGGGCGGGTGGTTCCTACGAGCAGCCGCTGCACGTCGACACGTGTATCCAAGAATATCAGCCTTTCCTCTGCAGTCTTCCCCTTTGCAGAGGGCGACGAATGGCAAACCCGGTACAGGACAGAACAGGCTCTTCAGGGAAAGCAGGAGGATCTGGTCGTGTCCACGTGCAGGCTTGCCCACCGTCCTCCCTCCCTCTCGCCCCTGCCATCCTCGGCAATCCAGGATACAGCTGGAGAGGCCAAGGCAGAAGTTCCAGGCCCACGGGGGAGCCACCCAGCAGGAACTGAGGGCAGGACACAGAGGGCTGTGCAGAGGAGAGGCCAGGACAGTCGTTCAGAGGCACACACACACACCCCCACCCCCCGCTCTGTCCCTGGTCAGGTGAAGGCTCCAGGCCGGAAGTCGTTAGAAGACACTTGGCTCTGCCATGGGATGTAGAATGTTCACTATTGGAAAAACCACCTGTGCGTTTACTGAGGGAGACGTCCTCCTGACCCAGTGCATCCTCACTGTGGCTGGTCTTTCCAGGTGGTAAGGAAACCCAGGTGAGGACGGTAAGGTGCTTGTTAGGGGAGGGAGCACAGCACCCAGATCGCTGTTCCTTGGATTTCCAGAAGTTTGCCGCTCTGTGTGGGAGGGAGTGAAGAGGTGTCTCAAGTGGATTCAAAGACAGAGGGACTGATTCCGGTGTCCTCTGTCTTTTGGTGTCATCCGCACAGAGAACTCCCATTCCAGCCCTATCCTAAAGCGCCGTCAAGCGCAGGCTCTGCGCCATGCCAACTCATGCAATGCCCTTGGCACATGTCTTTGCAGGACGCCTGCTATTCAGCTTCCTGGAGCTTCTTTCTCTGCAAACTGAAACCTCCCTGCAGGCCAGGACTGGCCACACTGACTATTCAGACCCCATTGAGTTTCGGATCAACTCTGATACCTCGCTAAATGTCAATTTCACACAAACACTGGTTTTTGTTTGTTTGTTTGTTTTAGCAGAAGTGTGCCTCAAATGTTTTCTGGGACCTGCTTCTACTAAAGAACAGTGCATTGTGTACCGGAGACCCAGCTGAGCTGGGTGCTCCCACTTCACTCTTGCTTACTCTCTCAATCCTAGACCCAAAGCACTCTGGACGTGTGGTCTCCTGTCGCCCCCAGTGGGACCTGAGGATGGAGCGCACTGTGAAGGGCTGGACTTGGCTCTGCAAATGAGCTGGGGGGATGGGCAGGCTGCAGGGAGATCAGAGCTAGAGACCCCACCCCTGCACAAGGTCAGCTCCAGTCTCTGTGCTGGGGACTCTGTCCCTTTCGAAAGGTTCATTTAGAGCAAAACCAAAGGAGTCTGGGTGTCCTGTGTGCAAGCTTGACACTCCAGCCCTGTCGGTCATTCTCTCCCGCCCTTGGCTTACGAGTGTGGGGCACCTGGGCCCTCACTGAGAAGTGGTTCATGCTCAGAATGGGCCACTGACCTCCCCCACCTCTCCCAATGCCAGGGCCTCACACTTCTCCTGAGCCCTGGACTCATCTTCAAAGACCTGTGTCCAAGAGGCCCTAGAGAATGAGTCACCAGGGATGCCTCTCTGCAGAGTAGCCGAGCAGGTGACTTGGTTCTAGAACCAGTGCAGTCAGGCACTGGGCACGCTCCCTGGGCCAGCTGTCTGCCCATCACCCCACAGGGAACGAGAGACAGGGCACGTCCAAGGAGCGCTGCAAACAGGCGCCTGTCTCTCTTGGGACAGAGGGGGTCTTGGACACTCCCTCAGGTCCGATGCCAGGCTGGGCATCCCAGCAGCTTCTCCTGGCTCACCCATGGCCTCTGCCCCCTTGTCTGCCTTCTGACCTCAGACTCCAGGCTCTGCCAGGACCCATCCTGAAAGGACCTGCTATCAGCCCCAGTTTTCAAGGTCTCAGGCCACTTTCAGGGCAGGCCACACCCTTCCAGGAAAGGTAGTGGACGCTTCCCTCCCTGTCCTCTGGGGTGCCAGCCTGCAGGTCAGGCGGAGGCCACCCATGGGGAGGCGCACACCCCGGGGTAAGGCTACTCTGAGTCACCAGCTGTGCAGACCTGGACAGGGGCTCCCTTGCCAGCCCTGTGTCCAGTCTCCCCAAGTAGAAAACAGAGAGACCAAGTCCCGCCTGGTGTGGGCCTTTGTGTGCCAGCAGGGAAGGACAGCCCAGTTCTAGTGCAGAGCAGGAACCTTGCCAGCTGGGAGATCACCCTCCCTCCACTCCCAGGGTGGCAAAGGGCATTCATTACATGGCGGCGGAGGGGAGCCTTCAGCTTACTCTGAAGGGGGCTCTGGGTGGTGGGGGTAGTGGGAGGGACAACTCACAAAAGCCAGGGCTAGAAACTCCCAACGGTTTTTTTTTTAAAAACTTCCCTTCTCTCGCCCCTTTT